CCCCGCCAGATGGGAGGCACGCTCCTGTGCTCTGCTGCATGCTCGGGAGGGCCTGTTTGCATGTTGCCCAGTGACTGCAAGCACCAGCTCCGACTATGACACGCCGGCTCCTCGTGATGCCTTAACGACCTTCGCTCCGTGTTCCCAGGACAGAGGACCTGGGCAGCTCCATGTGCTGCAGGGTCGGGGAACGAAAGCCCTTAGCTACGTGGCAGAGCTGGTAAGATCGCCCGGCTCCAGCTGTCTGCTCCTTTCCAAGATGTGGGGGAAAGTAATGGGATTAAAAACTATCGCATTCAGACCCTTGGAGTTGAAGCTTCTCTAACATGAGATCCAGCAGCTGGTGCTTCCAGCACCCATTGCTTATGGGGTAGCTCCAGGTTCGTGTACAACTGCGGGAACTTGGTTCAGAATGGGGAACTTTCCATTCATGTGAACTCTTTCAGCTTCTCTGCATTGTTAGCATGTAAAGCCACCCCCTGGCCCCTGAGGCTCCTGCCTGCAGCAGCCGTGGGAGGAAAGGCTTCTTTTCACATTGCTTAAATAAGCTACTTGCTGCAGCACAACAAGGTGCCCACTTAGGTACAGTGGCACAAATAGGTTTCCAGCAAGCTCCAGGTATTGGGGACAGCCCTTCCGCACAGGTCTGCCCCTCCTTGTCACCTACCTCCTGGGGCCGTCTAGCAGGCACGTTTGGGGGCAGGGGTGGAGGCTCAGTCTTTTGGAAGAAAATAGTGCGTCCATCGGCAGGACACTTCTCGTCGCGAAGCCGCTGATGTCTGGCGCAGCACCAGGCCAGCTCTTCCTTTCTGTCCCTGGGTCCCTTGAAAGCTAAATCAGCAGCAAAGTGCCTGAAAGCTCACCTGAACATGTATTCAGTTTGTCCCTGGCTCTGCTTTAAAAACATCACCTGCCTGATGATTGCAGCGTGCTGGGTTCGGTGCCGGTGGCTATGGTGACTCCCCACAGACTAGCCCTGAGGGGCAGGGGCACCTCCCAAGACCCACAGGCCTTTGCATGTATGATGATATTCTCATTTCCATAATGAAGGCCCCACTGACATAATTAATCATCTTAAGCGCTGCTTCCTATTCAAGGAAGATATTCCTGGGGCTAGCTACCGCATGTCATTTTGAATGCGCATTAGTCCGTCGTCTTTCTTTGGCAGACACGTGTGTAATTTATATCTGCTTGGGTGGAATTAGCCGATGAAATATGCATCGCCCGGCTCCATTACCATTTTTACTTGTGCAGCTCTTTGCTCTCGGGTACGTTAATATTGCACACTAACAGCGGGTGGGGCCACAGGAAAGGCAGCGCATTAAACACAGATGAATGCAGGAGGGTTTCTAGAGGTTTGGCTTCCTCCAGAACAGAACAGCACTGGAGATTAATGAAGCTGCTAAATTAAAGACAAGGCAGTTCCCCTTTCTGGCTTTCATCCTTATAATATCCCCCAGCTAGTCTCTTGAGCTTGGACAAACATCTCTACAGACCCGTACCCGTGCCTATTGGCCTCTCCAAATGCTAGTGTCCAAACACAGTTTTAGCTCCTGCCGGGTCCAGAAGAACAGCTCTGGAGCTCCCGGAGCTGGCGAGGAGACTGAACATGGCCAAAGGGCATTTGATCCTTGGAAACCTTGACAGATGTAGAAGAAACTCATGTATCACCTCAATTATAGGGGGAAAATAGCCAAGGAACAAAGAAGCCCAAAGAGCCAGGATCAAGTTAACCCATGAATGCCCTGTGTCCCCTACACCAGTGCACATTTGCCATTGCAGGGGATAATGCTGACTAGCTTGAGCCCATTTTGGAGGAGTTTGTGCTGTACAAACCCTGTGAGCTACAGGCAATTCAAAGATAGTCCTAGAAGCTCTCGCTTGAGAGAAAGCAACCAAGTGACTGATGCTGGATCCTGCCTGCTTCTGTGGGCAGAGATGGAGCAGGAAGCATTGGCCCGAGCTGACGCAGCTCCCCAGTGCGGCGGCTGCGGGCCCCCCTTGACGTGCCCTCAGACCGTGGGCCTCTCCGGCTGAACTGGAGCTGCCCCTCAGGACTGTGGACCCCCTGCAAGGTGCTGCCACCCCAGACCAGGCGGATTCGACGCCTTGCAGCTGCCTTTCAGGATGCAAAGAGCTTCAGCCGCTTGGATGCCAAGTCAGAGCTACTGTCCTGCCCTGTCCCATCTCGCTTCCAGCCCAAACAAGGGGTGAGGACATCGGGCTGCCTCGCTGGCTGCTGGAGGAGTCCTGCTGGCTAAGAAGGGGCTTCTTATTCAGTCCTGGCAAAGGCAGACGTCAGGAAGCAGCGGTGCCTCTGCAGAGCCAGGGGCCGTGCAGTGGCCGCAGGCCCCATCGGAGGCTGGTACAGCCACCTGAGCCTGGGACGAGAGAGTGGGCGGCGGGTCAGGAGCGAGGGGCTGAGTGCGGCCATGGCGCACGAAGGCGCAATACAGCTGACGACAGCCTCCTGAGCGTGCGGGAAGCTCACGCGGTCTCCCAGGACTTCAAACCACGCCACCACCGTGGCCCCATGCCCCCGCCGCCATTAGCATTCACTCCTCCACTTGCAGCAGAACGTGTCTCGCAAACGTCGCTGCAGCTTCACGCATGCCGGGGCTATGGCTAGACTACTAAACAGCTGGTCTCCGAGCAGTAACTCACGGGAGATCAAAAGGCTGCCACTGAATCAGGGCGATGCCCCACGCCGTGAGCCTGCTGGAGCCCTGGAGATTTAGGAGCAGCATCGGAAACGTCTTGTGCAGGAAAGGCACCAAGTTTTCTGGGTCGGAGGCTGGTCTGAATGACAACGGGGGTCGCTGGGGGCGTTGAGCCTCTGCAATACATCCCCTTGCTAGCCGCGGTGTATGAATTTGCCCACAATTGAGACTCCACGTGGCCCTTTATCATAGCGTCTGCATGACTAGGTTCCTGCTTCCTGCGCCGATGGCCATGACGCTATCCCTAAGCACCCCCAGACGGTCCCTTCCCACCAGCCGGAGTGCCCCTTACCCTGCCCGGGCCCAGGGCGATGCACAGAGCCCGGGTGCGAGAGCCATGCATCACCGTACCCCACGCCTTGCAGCCGAGTCTGGTTTGGAGGTGATGCCGATGGGGGAGATGCACACGTCAGGAAAGCACCGGCCACCGCAAGGGCAGCCCCCTGCCAGCGTCCTGGGGCAGATGCTTGGAGAGGAGAAGAGCGAGCCCTGGTCCTCTTACGCAGCAGCCACCTGCGCCTCTGCTCTAGGCAGGACACCAGGCAGATGAAGCCCCCGGGCTTGCGCGGGGATAGAAAGTTTATCTCCCAGACAAGACGTGGGGGCACTCTGGGAGTTTTAGAAGCAAAAATGTCCAGACCGAGCTGTGCCAGCTGCCGCCCAGGCACAGGAAATGCTCCCCTGGCCTCGCACACGTGGTGCCTCTCCGGAGGCGCAAATGAGCAACCACAGGCAGCAAATCCCTGGGTCTTTTTTCCTTTTCTAATCCTGTTTTAAATGTAGCCCCTGTCAAAACGAGCAGTGATTTGAATCTGTAACGAGCTGCGAGCCATCCCCTCTCTGAGCCAGGAGAGGCTTTCACAGCCGCTGAGCTGCGAAAATTGCCTTTGAAGGCAGCGCGAGCATCTGGGCCGAGGCCTGCGATGGAGACCGACAGGCCTCCTGCGCTGCCGAGGCTCGGGAGAGGTGCCGAGCTGGGCGGTAGCCCACGTAACAGGGATGTCGGTCGCCTCCGCACTGCTGTTTGCATGGATGGAGCTACCAGTCTGTCCCGGCAATGGCTCCGTTGCCGATCCCCCCAGCTCTGTTACAGTGCGGTTTATGTCATTAGGCGATTAAAATGGGGATTTATAATCCCTGCTTTCAAGCTGCGGTAACTTTTACATCGAGGCAAGCCAAAGCTTTTTTGTTCAGCTAGAGGAGATTGTGACAGCAATACTGGCTCTGACGGAGCCCGGTTGATTTAAGCCAGTCAAAGATCTGGCCAAGGGAGGCCAGTTTCTGAGGGAGGAAAGCTCAGTGTTGGGCACAAGACTTGTGTTTCAAAACAACGCCTCAGAGGGGACGGGAGGATTGGGTCCGTACGCAAAGCTGTGAGGTCTCGTGGCTGTTTCTGCTGGTTGTATCAAAGGCAAGGACTCCTCACCGTCACCACGGATGGGACTGGGAGAGGGAGGCACCTGCAGACACAGGCCTGGACTCCCCGGGGGCAAAGAGGTCAATGCGATTGCAGAAATGGCCGGGATAATTGCATCCCTCCAAAGGGAAACCGCTCCCACCTTCCCCGCGTGCTGCAGCTCAAGGACACGGGAGTTGCCGTGAGCCCTAAGTTTCTGGCTTGTGTTGCGAGCGCTGCTGGCATAGGGTCAAGGCCTGCCGGCACTTTTGAAGGGCTGCATATGGGCACTTGCAGACCCACCAGGCAGCCTGGGCCGTCTCCACCTGCCTCAAAGGCCCACGTGCGTCCCCAGCTGTCCACCCAGCATTGCCCAGCACCCTGGTACCCTGCCCCGCAGCCTCTGCCAACACACGCTCCCCTGCTCTGCAGTCGTGCTGTTGGGCAGTCGCACCCAGGGCTGCCGTCCAGCTGGCTTTGCCCCTGGCCAGGCTGGCCGAGCACGGAGCACCCACGAAGAGCAGGCAAAAAACCCGGCCCTTTCCATGCAAACAGCCCACAACACTGCGCTCAGCCGCTCCCCGCTAAAAGGGTCACTTCGAATGAAAGCCCAGACTCCCGCGGCTTTGGCAGCGCGCCAGCCGCACGCTGTGCACAGCGGGGTGGAGCGGCGAGCGCGGGACCAGACAAAAAGACGGGTTCGTAAACCTGGC